ACAGGTTTATTAAAGGGTCATTTTTTGTGTGAAAGTTTACGGTGGAAGTCTACCGCGTTAAGTAAACTTGACTCTCAAGTGAGTAGATGTAGACATAACTCGTACATTGTGAACTGCTACAAATCTTTGTATTTATGATCGTTTTTTAGTTACTATTGCTTTCGAATGTAGAAATTAGGGTTTAATCCAAAACATTTGCAAATTTTATGGCAAATGGATCTTCATTAGCTAAAGCATGAATCATGAATTACTTTAGTAAAGTTATTATTGGGAGGGAAATTTTTGTGGCATTTACTGTCTAGAATTGACGATTTGTAGATTATGTTTATGGTGTTCAGAAAATTGGACAATCTTGAAGATTTCATATGAACATGTTTGAGCCTATTTTTTTTGTAAAATACATTTTTTTCTTTCTTATTTTCAATTACACGTTCTTCGATAAAATAATATTACACGCAAAATTTAAAAAAATTTCATATTTTTTAATCACACGTTCTCGATCAAATCATTGTTCGAAAATACATTTACAAAAAAAATGGGGCTCAAACAAGCTTATATTTGTTAAATATGCTTGTATATATAGGTGCCAAGATGTTTTGTCGTGCAAGAAGAAGAGGAAGAATTTAATTAAAAAAAATGAATTACTCTTCGAAAAAATGAAATACGGCCGAGAAAGAATTATTTCATTATGCTCACTTTCAGCCACTTATCATTTAGACAAGTCACATCTTATTTGGATCGAAACCCGTACAAACATATTTATAAATAAGTTATTTGAATATTGGCCAAGTTTAAAAACTACTTATAAGTGAGTATAACTGTAACTTTCAAACAAAGTATACATTATTTTAAGGGAAAATTGCAGTCACGGTATCAAATTTTTCACTTTTTTGCAGATTTTGTCCAAATCTTTGCTTTGTGCCAGCTATAGTACCAAACCTTTAAAAAACTCGCAGCTCAAGTCCGGATGGATGGAAACCGTGAGTTTGACTCCAAAAAATTATTTTGACCAAATCAACAAAGGGCAAAATGATAACTACATAATTTTAACATAAAAAAAGGAAAATACAAAAAAAGGCAACATTATTCACCTTCTTCACAAACCACACCCACGTCACCCCACCCCACTCCACCAAGAGCCATTGGCCGTCACTGGCGACCACCACTTTCCGCTACCAACGGTGGAATCACCCACCCAAACGCTGTTATTGCGGCGTTAGATTGCACCCATTCACCTGCCCAGAAGCGGAAATCACCTACGGCAAAAAATCATTGAAATGGGGATTATCAACAGAAGAATTTTTGTGATAATTTCTGATTATTTTTCCAATTAAGTCCAGTCCGTAATTGGAATTGTAATCCGATAATTAAGTTGAAGTTAAGAATCCGAATTAGTCATGGCGGAACGCCACGTGTTTAATCGCATTGGAGACGACGCCGTTTGGGAATGAGCTGTATTTTGGTTCGCGAATCCTTTATGTAAGCTGCAACGGAATGAACCAGGGTGGTTGGTGGGGGAGCACATACAAGTTCTCTTCTGACCGGCGGCGACCCGGGGATTCTCCAGGCTCGACACAGAGATTGACCGATTCGGGGAAGAGGTGAAACGGACGGAGCGGTTTGCGTAGTTATAGAGATTTACGCGGGTAGGAGAAGTGGGTCTTTGGAACGAGCGAGCGGTGGCAAAGGTGGAAGATGTGGTGGAAGCGAAGGACGATGCAGTGCGAGAAGACGGAGCGTGAAGAGCAGTAGTGGCTAAATCTTCCAGAAGGTGAGAGTGATCGGAGAACCGGTCCGCTAGATTTACGTGGTGAACAATGAGCAGCCATCAATACAAGTTTTGCTTAAAGATATACTTCTTCTTGAAAAGGGGTTTCCAAGTCTTCAATTTGGCAAACGGTGCTTTCCTCCGGCTTTGTATTTATAGCGTTTGAAAAGAGCGTTGGGTTGGGCGGGTTGGGGTGGGGTTACTTTTAGTCTGTGACTTTTTCTTTCCGTGGTTTTGTATTAATTGCACTTGTAGTCCATGGTTTTGTATTAATTGCACTTGTAGTCCATAATTCTAAAGAAAATAACATTGAAGAGTTCTTGTTTCAAACTTTTGACATTGGTAAGAGTAGCAAAAATTGCCTCCATTCTTTGAGGGTGGTCCAAACTTGGTATTGAAGAAACTCCTTTCTCTCCTCCGAGTTACTTCTATAGCCATATCAGTTTGAAATGATAGCTTCAAGCACAAAGTCAATTTGGTGCTCAAATTCCCGCAACAAAGAAATAGTCGAACTATGAAGAAATTGGTTAGTTTCTTTAAGATTGAGGTAGGATTCTTGTACAGTTGTACACTAACAACATCATAGGTTGATTTGCCTTGGAAGTCTTCTTAATTTCTCTCTATTGCATAGAAACTCATTTTTGTCTTTCATTCTCTCTACATGCTCTCTATCTTTTTTCTCTTGTGGCCTTACTCCCTTTTCATTGTTTTTAGGATTAGTCTAAATGTACACAATTCATTACCTAATGGATTACACCCCCCCCTCCATGTGAGGGGGGTGTAATCCATTAGGTAATGGATTGGGTGTACATCTAGCACAACCCTTGTTTTTAACCACCCCTCTATTTTCTTACTCTTTCTTTTATTGAAGTTTCGTTTCACTCATTTTCCGCTCATTTTCTTTTCTTGTATTTCGGCCTCTCTCTCTCTCTCTCGCTATGCCTCATCTTTTAACTTCGATTGGTTTTCGTTGACCTATTTTGCAATTAAAGAAACAAGAATAACTGTTTTTTCATCTTTGACAAAGTTGTACCTATTATTAACACATCGTAAATCACTTTTCTATCATACTATCACAACCTCCACAATAAAAAATGTACATCATGCTTGGGAACCACATTATTAACGAAAATCATTTTTCATCACATAGGCATAAATAAAGCGCAAGGTTCTCTTATAGAAAACTTCATCACTATCAAGGGACATACACCCTCATCATTTCACCATCTCTACCAGCTGCCATAATGCAATCTTAACCAGTCAACGAGTACTGGAAAAAAATTCTGAATTCTTAGCTGTATAAGAACGTTTTCTATCTTGCTAAAAGGTATCATAATTTCTTTCACGGGAGAAATTACGCCAATACTAATTTAATATGAGTTCTTTTTTTTTTTACTACATTATTTCTTGAAGTGTAACAAAAGAAATCTAGGTTCAAATTCCTAAAAAATGTGAAAGCGAGTAATATGAGATTGTCTCATCTTTCACGATAATGTATTTTTCATTACATCGCTAATAAATCCATACCGTTGAAAGAAGCTCGAGATTAACACCACCATGGGCGGACGTAGAACTTAAAAGTTAGGTGGGTACAATCGAACTTGTAAAGAAGTTGAGAGAAATTTTACAATCGAAAATTTATATTCAAAAAAATTATGCCCCATGTAATTTTACATTCGAAAATTTACATGAGATATGACTTTCTCGAATGTAAAATTTTGAAAATTTTTGATGTCATATTCTATATAAAATTTCCTAATAAAATGATGAAAATTACATTGAGAAATTTGTATTATAAAAATAATAAATGTTAATGAAATAATTGAATTTTTTTTAAAAATGCGAGTTAGACGTCTTTTTTTAAAACTCATGTTTAACGTATTTTTAATTATTTTTTATATCTATTTGGATTATTCGATATGTCCACAATGTAGTTTTCGAAATAAGTTTTGAGATGATATAAGCAATTTATAGATTCAATTAGCATATGATCATCAGAGAATTTTTAAAATTAGCATGTTTTCGAAATTCAAATTTATTGTGATTTTGCCTTTGTTTGGTGGAGATTAAAATCAAATTTTTATTAAATTTGGATAAAAATTAAACAGTTATGGATTCCATGAAATATGTTATTTAAAATTAATTGTTAACTTTGATTTAGATTAAAATTTAGATTTCAATCGATATCAAACACGATTTTATAAATAAAAAAAAAAGTCTCAGAAGTTGGGAGGCACTTGCCCCCCAGGACCCCCTAGGTCCGCCCATGAACAGCACATTGAGGAGGGGCTTATTTACTATTAAGTAATGTTATTCATAGTGAAAACTAACCATAGTTGTTCTACGTAGTATACATGTAACAATTTGTTATTTGATATATTAATGTGATAATTTTTTATTATTTCATACATCAAATAACAAAATGTCGTATGTATGTGACGTAGAACAACTACTGATATATTCTTCACTATGAATAGCACTACTCTTTACTATTTATTGGAAACGGGAAGCAGGGAAGTTCTGGAAAGCCTTCACATTTTTATCGAACATTTTCTGCTTATCTTTCCTTATTGTGATGAATTTTAAAAATTAAATCCCGTCTGAAATTAGAGAAAAACAAAAGGATGAAAAGATGGGAATGCTGCAATTTTTTTATTTTTACTTTTTAATGGAACAAGAAATTTCTTGGTTTTCTCTCTCTTTAAGCCCAGTGGTGGTCTTAAAATTTAAAAAATATAGTTTTAAATACTATTTTTTGGAGAAAATGCAGCGAAAAAGTAATAAAAAATTTTGAGTTTACGTTTAAAATATTTTAACAGATATGAAACTGGGACTTGAGCCAACCACCACCAGGGTGCATCATTTATTATTACTCGAATAAAAAAAAGGAAGAAAAAAATAAAATAATTTGAAGGGACATACGATCCTACCTCCAGTTCATGATCTTTATCATCATGAAATTAAGTTTTTTTAGCTCATGATCACTTTCCAAGCCAATCCCAAAAAGAAATAATAATATGAAATAAACTTCAAACAAGTTAATTAAAGAGATTCACAAGAAGCAGATGGACTTTATGACGCTTACACTGTACAGTTAGATTTATTGAAAAGGTACACTGTACACAGGCAAGCAGACAAGAAAAGGTTGGACAAAAGAAAAGTTTTTAGCCCTTTAAAAAATAAAAAGGGCTAAAATCCCCTAATACACGTTGAGAAACATCCATTGATTCACTTAATGATTCCACAACAGAAAATCAAAAATTCCGCCACCATCATCGCCACCAGTGCTCAGCCATGGAGCTGGCTGCGGAGGAAGATCCAACCATCCATAATCCACTGAGTTGTCAACAAACACGGCATCATTCTTCAGTTCTAGAGAGTCAAAATATGATCCTAAACTTGGCAATTCAATTATCTCACATAAATCTTCTGAACTGGTTGACAAATCTACATCAGAATCAGAAGATGAAAATGAAGAATGTGAAGATAAAGTAGTTGAAGAAGAAGATTGTGGTGACAGGTCAAAATTTTCAATGGCTGCCGCTTTTGCGGCGGCTTCTTGAACGTCACGTGGGCGGAGCGATACCGGCCGCGGAAGTACGGCGGCGAGTTCAGGGAAGTTTAATATTGCTGAGTTCCCTTTGATGCTTAAAGCTGCTACATCATGAGCCCTGGCTGCCATTTCTGGTGTAGGGAAAGTGCCAAGCCATATGCGGGATTTCTTGCGGGGCTCCCGGATTTCAGACACCCATTTGCCCCAGCTGCGCATTCGGACGCCGTGGTACACCGGGTGGTTACTTGCGGCGGCGCCGCTGACCGTGTTTCGGATTCTTTTGATTTTCTTGGTGGTTTCTGAAAAAATTTGCGGCTGCTGCGGTGTTGATGGTTTCTGGGATTCAGTACTCATTCTTAACTTTGACAGTCCCCAGCGATCGACTTCTATATTTAGTACTTATCACCGTGCATGTATTTCTTGTACTTTTGTTCGTGCACTCATAATTTATCTTCACAATGTTTGTGCACTTATATATAGAGAGAAGCAAAGAAAAAAGTTATATATAGAGAGCGATGAATCCTGGCGATAGGTTTCACGAAGATGTTGCAAAGAAATGTGAGGAATATATAGCGTATGAAGTCGAATAATAATATCAGAAATACAGCTACCCCTAATCAGCTAACCTTCTTATTTCCAATCACTTATAAGTAGAGAGAGAAAAAGTAGAGAGGGAGAGAGAGAGAGGGGACATTGAAAGATGGGTCATTCTGCTAGAAGCACAATGGGGTCCGTTCTGACTTTTGATATATTTCTTCTGGTTTTCACTTTCACCTATTCATGTTAACACTGTTCATTTAACCCTTATCCTATTGTAGTGTGTGTGTGTGTGACATAAATGATACTTTGGGATGCTATTTTTGGGTTCTTCCATATCTTCATAGGGAAAAGTTAAACAGACAGGATTTGAGGCTAGGATTTGGTGACCAACGCCACGTGGTGTCCCCCTATTGGAGGGGCGCCTATTCGAAGAGGCACCCCTCCAATAGGGGGGCGCCAGATGAACATAATAAAAATTTTCTATGTGATCTGTTACTAGGGTTCCACCTATTAGTTATGCATAGAGTAGTTACATTTAAGACTGGTCTAGAATTTCGTGTTGAGCTATACTAAACTCTATTTTTTTTTTTTTTCTTTTTCTCGATGATGGATTTTTTAGAGCTTAATTATATTGTATATACCTATTTTCTTGACATGATCACATAAGACAGTAAAATCCAGTGTTTAGGATGAATTCTTTTATTATTGGAGCATAAAACATATCAGATTGCCCTAAAGTTGGTATTGTGCGAAGATTTAGCCATCATTTGATAATCATTATTTAAAAATTCTTTTTTCTACGTACTCTGATACTCATTTTCAACCACATATTCACACAATAAAATATTTTGCGACTAAATTCAAAACATTTCCTTACTTTCTAACCATATATTTTCCTAAAAATCACTATTCAAACAATTATTTTTTTTCTAAATAATAGTCGTCAAACGGGTTTTTTTTTTTTGTGTGAAAGTTTACGGTGGAAGTCTACCGCGTTAAGTAAACTTGACTCTCAAGTGAGTAGAAGTAGACATAACTCGTACATTGTGAACGGCTACAAATCTTTATATTTATGATCATTTTTTAGTTACCATTGCTTTCGAATGTAGAAATTAGGGTTTAATCCAAAACATTTGCAAATTTTATGGCAATTGGATCTTCCTTAGCTAAAGCATGAATCTTGAAGTACTTTTAGTTAAGTTATTATTGGGAGGGAAATTTTTGGGGCATTTACTGTCTGGAATTGACGATTTGTAGATTATGTTTATGGTGTTCAGAAAATTGGACAATCTTGAAGATTTCATATGAACATGTTTGAGCCCAAAATATATTTTTCTTTTTCTTATTTTCAATCACACGTTCTTCAATAAAATAATATTACACGAAAATTCAAAAAAATTCATATTTTTTACCCACACATTCTCTATCAAATTACTATTCCAAAATGCATAACGAACGATTCTTCATCGCAAACTCTATGGAGTCCAATGCCCATGGATGCAACAGATTTTAGCGTTCTCACGTATACTATTTATTTTCAAACCTATTCCATTTAATATTCTAATAATTGATGAAAAAGCTGTATAACTAATTCTATCCAGCATTCTCTCCCTTTCTAAAACGTACTTTAGAAGATCGTACTCCGACAAATTGAGCTGTTGATTGAACATAAATTTGGACTATCAAATAAAATAATTTAATGATTCGTTACACTTCAAAATTGTAAGGCCACGTCCAATTTTTTGACCTTATTGGCACAACAATGGGGGACCGAGACATATCTTATGGTGGAAATGTTAAATGGGTCATATCGAGCTGCTTAATTCGTCCATTTTCAAACTCGATACTTTCACAATTTGTTAATGTCCTTTTCGATACAATTCTAAATCATATATTTTGAAACGCACACAAACCCACTTTTTTAATGTTAGTGATACATTAAAGTAGATTACAATTAAAAAAAAAGTTAAAAAGAAATAAGCTGGAATTTTTGTTCATTATACACTTTAGTTCCATTTACTCTAATTTATTTCCTTTTAAAAAATTATATAAACATTTATTATTTTAAAACGAAATATAAACTTCCCTTAACTCAAGTTTTGAATAACGATGACTTTTCATGGCCTTAGTATATTCAAATAAAAGTCATATTAATTTCTTTCTGCATTTTTTTTTTATCTAACGACCTGTTTGATAGCACCCAATTTTCTAAGGAAGTTGGAATTCGTTTTCTATTTTCCATCTTTTAGGCTGTTTGGTAGGTTAAATTTTTTATGGAATTCATTTTCTACCCAATTATTGGTTTTCAAAGAAAACCTATTCTCACCAAATTCCTAGGCTAATTTTTTTTTTTTTTTTGTAATGAAAACAAATTCTATGGACAATTGTAAATTTTTTTCCCTTTAATGGACAATTTGAATGGAAAACAAAGTCAAACGAACATCAAAAGATTCAAAATTTCAATATTTTTTAAGTGAAAAATTATACCAATCAAACACAATTAATTACAATTCTCAATAAAATAAATTTTATGTCAATTCAATTCCCTATAATTCATTTTCTTTCCATCCAAATTACATCTTTGAAATCAAACTGATCCTAATGTCTCTTTGAGGCCATTCTTATTCTCTTTGTCAAATTACTTTCTTTTTGTTAAATAATTTACACTCATCTCATGTCTTCAAATTAATTCCCTGAAAAAATTCTGACAGGAATGAAAGAAGCAGTCAACACTCAGTTTGACCTGTGCCCTGTTTTGGTGGCAGTTGTTCCACCAATTTCAATGTACAATTGACTACTCATAAGCACGGTTGGCACGCACAACTCGACTCGACTATACTGAACAAATAGATCACATCATTTTTCCTTAATCTGGCATAGTAATATACAGTTCAATATATCAAATATCAATTGCATATTAGATATGTAACATGAACAGAGAGAGAAATTATTAGGTCCTATTTGATCCCTATTCTTTTTGTAAAATAAATTTTGTAATAATGATTTTTTGGAGAATGTGTTATTAAAATGTAGAAAAATTTACGTATAGAATTATTTTATAAAAGAATGTGATTAAAAATGATTTTTCAAAAAAATAAATTTTGAAAAAAATAGAGCTCAACCATAGGTTAAATGATAAGATTTTCAACTTTTTTTTTCTTCTTTATATTGTGAATTATAACTGACAATTTATAAGCATGTTTGACACACAAGATTGAGCAGTAATCTCGTCTAATGTTGTGTTCAAAAATCGAATACATATTTGGTATGTAATACTCAATAGAATTGAACACAATAAATGTCAAGAATTTAACTTTTCTTTTCTTTTCATAAAGTTGACAACTCATAAGCATGATTTATACGAAAAAGTAAATTGTAGTAAACAAGACAGTTAACAAATATATAACATCTTTCTTCCTTAACTTATCTAATATCATGCAGTTCAATATATAAATAATTGAATTTGGTATGCAGTACACGACCAAACTAGGCGTATAAATGACAAAATTTTAAATTTTTTCTTCTTTAATGCTGTCAAATAGGATAGTTAACAAGCCATGATTGTTTAAACATGAGTAATGGGCACAAATATGTTGGAAAGTGCATGAATTACCATAGCCAGGGTAGTCATATGACTGGAATAACAATACATTCTAAATACTTCTTTGAAAAAAAAAAAAAATTGATGTTCGAGTCTGGCAGAGCACCGCCCGACCCTCCCATCCCGATATACCTGGCTGAGAACGATCCTCTACTGCTCTAATGCCCCCCAAGATAGAGAATATACACTTCAATAACAAAGAGGCTATAGAAGAAAACCAGGAGCATTTCCTCTGCTAAAGCAGCAATCAGCAGCAACTAACCTTTTATTAGATTTTATATAAAGTATGATGACGGGAATTAGACAGTACTATACAACATTAATAAACTAAAAGAAGCTAAAACACTGTCGAGTCGAGATTTGCTTTTACCTACCATGTCAAATCCTCGAAAGTGTTCTACCAAAGAAATTATGGTCCACTTGACATTAAATGTAGATAATTCATACTTAATCTTCTCCCCTTTTCATCAATATATGCTCTATCAAAACTGACAATCCATAACCGTGAAAACAACTTATCTAAAGCATATGCATATTGTTGACACCCAAAACAGGCAGCCCAAATCAAATGGCTCAAGAGAGGAAATGACTCAAAAGAAGAAGCCCAGATAGAGAGATCAGTGTAAAAGTCCAACAAAAAATATCATTAAATATGATGAAAGCCCAAAAGATAAATGTACGACGTCGCCCAAGCCTGCAGGACGCCCAAATATTGAGCGAATGAAACACACTATAATCTCCCAGAGCAGAAGATCAATTGTCGCCCAAGAATGCTGAGTCGCCCAAAATCCCAAAAATGACTAAAGTTTGTTGTTATCCAAAATCACGATCTAAGACGGTTTGAGTATATCATAATTACGCCCCACGATTTGAGAAAGTTGGTGACAAGCAGTTATGAAGAGAGCGTAGTGATAGGAGTTGCACACGGTAGTTATTATCCAGCCGACCATGATGAAAGACATGGGTAGTTACAAGCAGTTGCTAAAATGATCAAGACTGCTCAGGCCGTATAAAAGAAGGAAGAAGACAACGAAGATAACCCCGACAAAATTCACTCTCAAAACAGAGATCATGTAATTTACTTTTCTTAGATTAACTTTTAATTACTTCAATTCCCTTGTACTTGTGTGCTTGCGCCTCTTGGAGACATCTTGTTCGTGTCCTAACTGTAATCTTCATATTCGATAAACACCCCTTTTTGAGACTTTGTTCCAAGAGGTTTGTCCCTTACACAATCGTCTGATTCCCCTTTTAATTGTTAGCGAGCGAAAACGCGCGAAACACATATAAGCAATATCACAATCAGTCATGGCTTATGCTACTTAGACTATTTCAATTACAAGACATACTTATATTGGATCTCTCGTCCAGTTTTCGAAATCGGCATGAATATTTGTGACACGATTTTCCAAAATAATAGGAAATCATATAAACATGTAACGAAGGAGAAACGAATCTCCTGCATCTGACAATTCTAATCAAGGTCAAGCAACATAGATCACAGCCACTTGATATCACCATCGCCAGTGGATTAGCAAAAGTTATTTATTTTGCAAGTAGCTTGGTTACACTTATTTTCAACTTTGATCAATAAAAAATTGTTACTTCAAAACTTATTTACTTATAAGTAACTCTGTTAAGCGTGTGCAGCAGTTGCTACTTATGCATTGAGTATAAATGGTAGGTAACAGAGAATCAGAGATTCAGAAAGGCCTACAGGTAGGAAGTCATCATCTAATAACTTAACTTTTTTATCAACTTATCCTAGGCTTCTATCTAGATTAAATGGACTGTGTTTAATTTAAATATTTATAACTAACAACCCATTCTGATCTATTGTTCTTTCACATTTATCTATTTTTATGAGTTTGATTTTTCCATTACTGAAGTTCTTCAGTTAAATTTGCTTCAGTAGTTGATTCTTATCAAGGACAGTTATCTGAACATTTCCAGTAAATGGAAACGTTGTTTTGTATCAAATTCTTCTAACCCAATTGGATTATCATGAATACTAGATGTATATATCGATAAAACTAAAGTGTACAAATTTTCTTGTATGAACGAAATAGTAGAATGAATCGGTAACAAACCTACATAGTAAATGTAATACAGAAATCTTAAGCAATGACAAATTTCTGCAAGTACAATAATGAAATAGTATAAATAATTAAGTTGGGTCTCAACATGAAATAACTTATTTTGTCAAAGACAGAGGTTTCAGTCTGTGTATATTGTTGTCATAAATCAGGAAATATAAAGAATCTCGCATCTATCATCCTTTTGATAGTTTTAATCTATTTGCAATTAAAATCTCAAGGGTAAGCCATTTTTTTAAAGAACTACAGTTATACAAACAGGAACAGAAGATTCTCTGCTTACCCTTTCCGCCTCTTGTGACTCAGCACAAAATCATCTTCCTCATCACTGTCAATTAATATCCGTTTCTTTGCTTTCGCATCACCACTTTTGGGGGCCGGCAGTGGCTTTTTTGAGATTGCAGGTTTACTTGAAGGTGGGATCGATGAAGATTTGATAGGAGTACCTGTCCGAAGTTGCTTTTGCTTCCTCTGCTTTTTCTCGAGTGCCTTCCTGGCTCTTTCAGGAGACAGCATTCCATGTTCCATCAACCTGCACAAATAATTTCTCACTTTGTCAGCAGTCTTCTGTCTTTGGATGCCAAAATACAGAATGGAACAGCATGCTAGATACCAGTGACATGATGAGACAAACAACACATTTGGCTAATAAGCTTAACGATTTTACTTATAAGTAAATAAGTGATTTTTAAATTAAAAATGATATTTAATTAGATAGCAACTTTTACCTTGCTCAAAACCATACTGTCAAAATAAGGTAAACATTTTAAGCACAAAGCCACAAACATCATTTATTTAAAACTTTAAGTAACTTATACTTTCTAAGCTTAGCCAAACATGCTCCTAGTTGGCCTTGCATATCACAAAAACAATTTATGCAATAATCTGAAATATAACGAATTAATTGGCATCCATTTTTACTTCATGAAGATAACAATCTCATACTCTACATGAATCAATACAAAATCTTATAGATTAAGAATTGCCAAAACTTAGCAAGTTTCGCCCAGTTTTAAAGAAGCCAGATTGAAAGTGTGGAGTTAATATGTGGCACAATGATGATGATATATTGCTGATTGGATGATTTGTAAGATGTTTGACCAGGTGTTTTGTTGACTTGTCGACTGCTGCCTTATTTCTTGTTAAAGCGTGTTTCTGTAGGATGCGATTTCTTTAATAGGTATCAACGGCTCAGATGTCGCCAAGTGTCATCTTCAACACCGTTGGATGGCTGACCTTCTGGTAACTTCTTTATACCATCCATCTACACAAGGTTTGAGGATGTATTAATCGTAATTCATCTCTCTCTCTATGGGACCTTTGTTATTCTCTCGTCTGTATCATTCACTTAAAAAGGCAGAAAGCCGTGTGTTGATCTGTTAAGAAAAATCAGCTGTATAGATCTTGAGTGATTTGTATAGGTTGAGGGTTAAGTTCTTGAGTGAACATTTGTATAGATCAACAGGCTTGTTGATGCGAATCTTGAGTTATCCATATTGAGTACTCTGAAATTGTATCTTGAACGATTTCTTTGGCTCCAATTCTTAATATAGTGGTTCCTTTCGGTGGCGGAAGCTCAAAAGGGGATTAGGAACTTTTAAGCTCTGAACTTCTTGCCTTAGGGGGAAAAATCCTTGTGTTTCTTATGTTTTCTGTTATTTTTGTGCTTTACAGTTTAGTATTTGTTGTTAGAAGTGCCTAATAATTTAAACTTAATCTTAACAGTGGTATCAGAGCAATTAGATGGTGGTTCTTGGCTCCGATCTCTGTAGATCTGAAAGTTTGATACCTGGTTCAGTAGTTCCTTTTATTTCTGAAACCCTAATAAAGGGATCCGGTGAGTTCATTCGTTCCTGTTTTACAATTTAAGTACAGATTATTTACTTATACCTTATAGTCTCTTGCAAACATGTTTAAAATCTAAAGATCAGAGACTTTCTTGGCAATTCCTTTGTCCAGAAACCCTTAAAGTTATCTCGAATCTAAGGGTTGTCTTGATTTGTGTCAAAGATCTAGATTCGAACTCTCTGCATGTTTCTTATTATTGTATATTGCACAGTGTTATAATTTTTGTACTTTGTTTCTAATATAGAAACGTCTTCTGTGACTATATTATTTGGAATAAACTATTGATAATCTGCTGAACTTGTATATACCTTTGAAGTGTTCTGTTTGATCTGCATACACTGTTTCTTCATTCAAATCTTTGATCATGATTTCTTCAAAATTTGAATTGGAAGTTTTTAATGGTAAATGAGACTTTAGTCTCTGGTGCCAAAAAATGAGAGCACTTTTACTTCAACAAAAATGTGCAAAGGCTATTGATAAATTGTGAAAATGGCCTACAGATCTTGAAGCTAGTGAAGTAACTGAACAAGATGAAACTGCATGGATCTCCATCTATCTGAATCTGTCTAAAAATGTACTTAGAGAAATTGAAGAAACAAAGACTGTATGGCCTACAGATCTTGAAGCTAGTGAAGTAACTGAACAAGATGAAACTGCATGGTGTTCCATTTTTCTATATTTGTCTAATAATGTGCTTAGGGAAATTGGTGAAACAAATACTGCTGTTGAATTGTGGAAAAAATTAGAAATTACTTATTTGAATAAAACCATTCCAAATAAGGTGTATCTTTTGAAACATTTTTTTGGTTTTAAACTAGATCCATCCCTAGATCTTGTGGTTAATATTAATAGATTCAATAGATTATCCTGTGACCTAGCTAACTGTGATGAGAAACTCTCAAAAGATCAGCTGGCTGTGGTCTTATTAAATTCAATTGGTGACTAGTATAAAGATGTTAAAAATGATATTGAATATGGATGGGAAACTCTAACTACTGATGTTATTATTAATGCCTTAAGAAATAAGGAGTTAGAGTTAAAATTTGAGAGGAAAGAATCCAGTAGGGAAAGTTTGATGGCTAAGTCTAAATTTAATTCCAAGAATGATATTCTCAATAAGAAATTAAGACACAAGAAAAAGGGAAATCTAAAAGATAAAATGAAAACAAAAGGTAAAAAATATTTTTACTGGCAAGAAGAATGTCATTTTATCAAAGATTGCCCTAAAAGACTTAATGATGAAAGAAATAAGTCTAAGTTAGATGGTGATGCAGCATTAGCCTGCAATAATGAGGCTAATATTGATGAAGTATATGTTGTTGTGAACTATTAACCTAGTCAAGAATGGATTCTTGACTCACGTTGCACATTTCACATGTGTCCTAATAGAGAATGGTTTGCTGAGTTTGAAAATGTAAATGGTGGTGAAATTTTAATGAGTAATCATATGACATGTGAGGTTAAAGGAATATGAACTATTACTTTAAAAATAAAGGGTAATAATCAACTAGTCTTGGAAAATACTAGGTATGTTCTTGAATTACAAAGAAATCTTATTTCTTTAGGTGTTTTAGATGACCAAAACTATGATATTATGATTAATAAGAGATACATTAAAATCTTAAGGGACTCACAATTAATTGTTAAAGCCCCCAAGAGACATGGACTTTACATTTATCTGATTTCTTTAGATGTGTTAGATGACCTAAACTATGACATATTGATTAATGCGGTATACATTAAAATCTTGAGGAATTCACACTTGATTGTGGAAGCTCCCAAGAGACGTGGACTTTACATTTTGCAAACTCAAAACTTTTGTTATTCCACTTCAACAGAAATCTCTGTTCAACATGATAAATCCCTAATATGGCACAAAAGGTTTGGTCATATTAGTGATAAAGGGTTACAGATTTTGAAAAAACAAGTTGCCTTTCGAAAAGATAACATTGAAAAACTCAATTTTTGTGATCATTGCATCCTAGGAAAGCATAATAGATTACCTTTTTTTTTTTTTACCTAGAATGCATAAATCTGTGTCAATACTTGAATATTTGTATGTTGATATTTGGGGATTAGCTTCTGTCCCAACTCATACTGATTTTAAATACTTCCTTTTGTCATCGATGATTTTTTTAGAAAAAATTGGATTTTTCTTCTCAAATCAAAGTTTGACACTTTTAATGTTTTCAAAGAATGAAAAACACCGATTAAAAATCAAACTGACAAAAAGATCAAGGTGTTAAGAACTGATAATGGTTTGGAATTTTGCAATTCTGAATTTGATGAGTTGTGCAAGTTGTATGGTATATTAAGATACAGAATTGTGACACACACTCCACAACAAAATGGCTTTGCTAAAAGAATGAATAGAACTGTTTTAGAATAAGTAAGATGAATGCTTTTAAGTTCTGGTCTTCCCAAGCTATATTGGGGAGAAGCTGTAAAAACAGCTAGTTATTTGATTAATAGAAGTCCTGCTAGTGCTATATTTTTTAAAACCCCTGAAGAAAAATGGACAGGAAAGACTACTGACTATAGTAATCTGAGAGTTTTTGGGTGTGCAGCCTTTGCGCATCAATCTGAAGGAAAATTAGAACCCAGAGCACTTATGTGTGTTTTCTTAGGTTATGGATAAAGAGTGAAACGATATAGACTGTAGGTAAGGGAGACCAAAGATTATAAGATCATTATAAGCAGAAATGTTGTATTTAATAAAGATGATCTACCTTGTTTAAAAAGGAAGGAAAACCTAGAGCCCCTAAGACACAATGATACAAAATTGAGGTGGAGGAGATTAATGATGAAAATCAGCAACCTGATGTTCAAATTGAAAATGAGAATGTTGAGACTCATAGTAATGAAGGTTTTGAACAATCTGAGGCTGATTTGGAAGTAAATCAACCATTAGATAACTATCAGCTTGCTAGAGATGGGTAAAGAAGACAGATCAGACCTCGTGTCAGGTCTGATGATGAAGTTTCTTTTTTGACCTTTCAAGGGTTTATTGAAGATGAACATGAATCATTTAAAGAAGCTATGAGTAGTAAAGATATCAATCTTTGGCTAGCAGCAATGCAAGATGAAATGGAATCTCTTAAAAGAAATAAAAGATGGATTCTGACTAAAAGATCTGAAAGAAGAAGGGTTGTTGACTGTAAATGGGTTTTTAAAATCAAAAGAGGAGAATAAAATGATAATGATATTAGATATAAGACTAGACTTGTGGTAAAAAGTTTTACTCAAAAGGAATGAATTGATTTCAATGAAATTGTTTCTCCACTTGTAAAATTTACAACTGTTGGAGTAATTTTAGCCTTAGCCACACAGTTTAACAGAGAATTAGATCAATTGGATGTAAAAACAGTTTTTTTAAATGATGACCTTGATGAAACTATTTACATGGAACAACCAAAAGGTTTTGAAATGAATAAAAATTCTGACATTGTATGCCTTCTTAAAAAATCCTTATATGGTTTAAAACAAGCTCAAAGACAATGGTACTTGAGATTTGATANAATGAAGGACTTGGGTCTTGTCAAAAAGATTTTAGGTATCGAAATTAAAAGAGATAGAAGAGAAGGCACACTAAGTCTCAGTCAGAAATCTAATATTTTGAAACTATTGGAAAAGTTTTCTATGCTTGATGCTAAAAGTGTGAGTTTACTTTTAGCAAATCACTTCAAACTTTCAAAAGAACAATGTCCCAAGTTTGAAGAAGAGTTTGTGAGAATGGCAAGGGTGCCATACTCTAATGCTGTTTGGTATGTTATGTATCTAATGGTCTATTCCAGACCTGATTTAGCTTTACTCAATAAGTGTATAGAGTAGATACATGTCAAACCCTGGAGAAGCTCATTGGGAAGCTATGAAATGACTTCTTAGATACATTAAGGGCACTTGTAACTTTGGAATTCTATATAGAAAACAATCTGATGGTGTTATCTTAAAAGGGTATATTGACTCTAAGCCTCTGTTTGGTAGATATTAAAATCAGATTTTTGGTAGATTTTGATAAAAGATGAAATGAGTGGTTGAAAAGTTGTGGGTCTCATAAAATATATATTTAAAATTAATTGTTGACTTTGAATAGAAATTTTAATTGGATTTTAATCCAAACCAAACACGGCCTAACTATGCAGGCGATAGAGATAATAGGAAATCAACTTCAGCCTATATCTATACTTTATGTGGTTCCTGTATAAGTTGAAAATCTCAACTACAAAAGATTGTTGCTTTATCTTCAACAGAGGCAGAATATATATCTACTACAGATGCTATAAAAGAAGGAATCTGGTTAAAAGGGGTCTAAAATGAATTTGGCTTTATTAAAGATGTTTTATATTCTGATAGCCAGTCTGTCATTTATCTGAGTAGAAATCATGTCTTACATAATAGATCTAAACATGTCGATATTAAATTTCATTTTATCATAGATGTTATTTCACAGGGTGTTGTGAAACTTGAAAATATTTCTACTTATTTTAGTCATGTTGATGTAGGTACGAAAGTGCTGCCTTAAACAAGTTTCAGAATTGTTTAAGTCAGCTGAATATTAACACTTGCTGATTTGTGTATCATGAATAAGAGCAAATGATGCCATGCTTGGAGGAACTACTATAGATGAACTAGAATCATTGTACCAAGGTAGAGATTGTGGAGTTAATATGTGGTACAATGATGATGATATATTGCTGACTGAATGATTTGTTAGATGTTTGACCGAGTGTTTTGTTGACTGCTACCTTATTTCTCGTTAAAGCGAGTTTCTGTGGAATGCAATTTCTTTAATGGGTATCAACGGCTCAGATGTCGCCATGTGTCATCTTCAACACTGTTGGATGGCTGACCTTCTGGTGACTTCTTTATACCGTCAATTTGACTAGGGTTTGAGGATGTATTATTCATTCATTCATCTCTCTCTGTGTGACTTTTGTTATTCTCTCCTCTCTTCCATTCACTCAAAAATGTAGAAAGCCATGTGTTGATTTGTTAAGAAAAATCAGTTGTATAGATCTTGAGTGATTTGTATATGTTGATGGTTGAGTTCTTGAGTGAACATTTGTATAGATCAACAGGCTTATTGATGTAAATCTTGAGTGATTCATACTGAGTGCTCTGAAAGTGTATCTTTGATGATTTCTTTGGTTCCGATTCTTAATATAGTGGTTCCTTCCGGTGGCGGAAACTCAAAAGGGGATTATAAACTTTTAAGTTCTGAACCTCTTGCCTTGGGGCAAAAAATTCTTGTATTTTTTTTTTCCTTTTATTTTTGTGTTTTACAGTTTATAGCCTGTTTGGTGCACATTAAAATGATAGAATGCATTTTTTTGAAGTGATGTGATGGGGAATATGTGGTTGAAAATGAAGGAAAAGCTATTGATATGATGGAAAATACTATTTTATTGAAGAATGTGTGGTTGAAAATGAGTAGAAGAATGAGAATGAAAAAAATAATGTGGGTCAAACGGGGGCTTAGTATTTGTTGTTATAAGTGCCTAATATTTTAAACCTAATCTTAACAGAAAGCTTAATTTATATCAAATTCTATGACTTCGCTTGGCAAGACTAACAATGGTAAAAGTGGCCCAGATAAAAAGAAAACTAACCAAAACTCAGCCATTTCACTTGACGGTATCTGCTTTGATAATGATTCATAGAATATCCTCAGCGGATCTCGCTGTTCACATGAAGCGACAATATGGAAGAGAACGAGAATTCAGTCAATATAAACTTCCTACAGAAAATAAGCAATCAAAACTTTAAAGGGGATATAAGAGATACAGAACCTCTTCAGGGACATCATATTTCTGTCCCGGCAAGGAAAAAACTTTCTTTTCTCTGGTTTTGGTCACTGTTTTGTTGACAGTCTTTGATGAACTTGATGTTGCTTTCGTTTTTAGCTTCACTTGAGCAATATGAAATGAAAATAAATCAAAACCAAATATCTATAAAGTTATAAGTTGATGAATTCAAACTCGTACTCACACATTCACTAAATAAATCGGAAAAATACATAATTGGTAATGCAACAGAGGTCACAGATCGTATGCTCAAGGCTCAACTGGAACTCTCGAAGGCATACATGAGGAAATGCCTGTGAAGGGGCACGGCTAGGCCAAGAGCGATGCTGCTTATTTAAGTTTTTCTACTCCCTTTTATTGCTTTAGTTACTTTATTTCACACTTGTAATTATTACTGTTCGCTAGGGGTTAATATGTCTTCTATGAGGTTTTCTTTGTTTCCTTAAAACAAAAGAACTAGGCTTGAAGTTGGCTAGTTGGTTAAAAAAAAATCGAGTTTTCTGCAGGTCTTGCTCCAACCTCGGTAATTATGTGGAATCTAACGAGTTTTATGATTGCATTTTTGTTTCGTGTACAATTCCCCTGAAACAATTGGGATCCGTAAACACTCAGTACACAGCTAATTACTATTACACCATGTCAGATAATCCAATCTCAGTACATTTAAAAAATATATATATATATACAGTATTCAAATTGTGAGCTCAATAAAAACAAACGAATCCACACAGCAAATCATGCCTCAAGATTAAAAAAAGGATCTAATAAATCTTAGTAAATGAGTGCAAGTTTAAAATGTTACAATGCAATGATTTTTGCTAATGGACACCTCAATTGTATATACAAGAATGATGCACAAAATAAAATACAAAATTCCCAATTGATTTTCATACAAAAGGGGCATGATTTTGGCAGGTGGGCACCTCAATTTATATTCAAGAACGATGCACAAAATAGAAATACAGACCTCCTAATTGATTTACATACTAAAAAATGATTTTGACAGATGAGCACCTCATTATTATATAGAAGTGCAAACTCCCCAATTGATCAATACAAAAATGAAGGACTTCGGCAGATGGTTCATGGTTGCACCAGTATATATAAAAAAAATGATGCAAAAAATAAAAACACAAAATTCCCAATTAATTTTCTTACTGAAAGTCATGATTTCTGCAGATTATATAGTTGTAGAAAATGCCCAATATGGCAGATATACACCTCAATTTAAGAGGGAAAAAAATAGATCTTCGTAATTGGGCACCTCAGATTTGGAGATGGATTTCTCTACAACTTTCTTCTTGTTGACAGACGAATCAATCCTGACCTTTGATGATGATGACCCATCGCCACTAGACTTGAATTTCATCCCACCACTAGATTTGGTCTCTGTGGCCATGGATTAATTATAACTGTGTAAACAATCTGCAATTTTAATATGATAAATCCGAATTCTCTATCTAGATTTGCAGACCTATCAAATTGAATACGCATCGCATGATCTATCTCTCTTATTTGTAGAATTTTTCTTTGTGAATGAAAAATAGGCAAAAAGAAAGCAGGTAGAATTGAGAGCTGAATGGCGTGCTGGGTTTTTAACTGCTGTCAATAAAGTGACGAACCCAAATCTACTGTTGCATTGGACTTGCAGGCGGTGATCTTTTGGAAATGTTAAATTTGCCTGTCCATAAAAATAAAAACAAAAAATTACCTTAGTCCGATTTCGTTGGGATACCACGGTTGATTTAGCATAAAAGCTGTCCGTCGCGCATTTTGTCTACAATCTTCTTGTATTGCCGAACAATTTTGCCACCTTCTTTGAAAGAACGTCAATGCCATGACATTCTATCATTATCCAATATAAAAAACTGTCAACACTACCATCAAATCACTTGTTGCCACACCTCATTCTGTTATCCAAGATGTTAAAAATATATGAAAAAGTAGATTAATTCTTTTGTCTATGGGTTGGGACCGGGTATTAGTTTTAGTCATCGATACAATTGAAATGTTCAAATTTAAATAAAAATAAAAATTGGATAAAACGAATCAAAACTGGAAGATCAAATTGGCATTAATCTCTATTTCATCTAGGGGTGGCTCGGCTCGTTTGGACACAAGTCGATCTTGAACTTAGCTCGTACTCAAATATTAAGATTGGCTCGACCCTTTGGTTCATGGACTTCACGAGTCGAGTCGTCCACGAGCACGTTCCTTTTTTTATTATTTTAGAAATAAATTAACAAAATAAGCTAAAAATGAACAACTTTTTGAAAGAGATTAATAAAACAAGTCTAAAAATTAAACAAAAAAGAGCTGATCCACTAGCACAAACAAACCGGCTCGTGCCCACGAGCTCAAACGAGCTAGCTCGTGAACAAAAATGTTAGCTCAGCTCGATCCATGGCTCGTCTCCAAACGAGCTCAAGCCGCCAATGAATCAAGTTGAAATGAGCCGAGCCCGCAAACCGCTTAACCCATTTGTCAACCTTAACTTCATCTGTTGATAGGGACAAAAAAAGCAAAAGGAAAAACATAAAAACAATTTTCTCAAAAGTATCACAACAAAATAAAATCCTTACAAGTTGCGTCTAATGTACCATATTAGAATGTCTAAAGAACTTAGTATAAAGTTAGAATAAACAGTACTAAAATAATACGTGAATGGATTTATTGATCCCATTTTTTGTAATGGTCGTGTGGACAATAGATATCGAGCCTACTAGCGTCCACGCAAGCAAATTCCAACACGTTTTGATCAGATTTGGACGGAAAATGATGGCGTCTATGGAAGTGGGAGATGCTCTACGACGTGAGACAAAAATATTCGAGCACGGGCAATATAATCAAAGGTGATTGCGTATTTAACTAACAATCACAAACAACTAAACCAAAGTGAAAATAATCTAAACACAGGCAAACAAATATAGAATAAGCAAGAGATAAGGTCGGGTGTGGTTTGAAGTGTGATGAATTGCATTTTCTTCAAATGTTACAAAAATTGCTTATTTATGGAGTTATGATCAAAGTGGTAGCCGTTGGATAAGAACCACGTGGTCTCACCTCCCAGGTCGAAGCCTTACATCATTCAATTTGCTATACATTTAATATATTGACAACGGATCAGGCACCCTATACCCTAGGCTGACAATCCTAACATTCATTATTGCAAACGTTACATCAATCATTCCTAAAAATTGCCTGCAAATCCTCTCAAAGACAGCAAGAGCTTCAGCCAAATGGAGCTTCGTATTGAAGGTTTTCAGTGTCAAGAGTTTTGGGACAGAGAGATTCGACTTCTTCTTTGACTTCTTGTATAGTGCTTTAGTTTCAGAACTTCAGCCACTTAGATAGTATTCGGTTTTAGCGCTTCGGCCAATTAGATAGTGCTTCGGCTCAGGGCTCCAACCACATGCTTGCACTTCGGCTTCAGGGCTTCGGGACAGATAGTTTTGACTTCTTATTTAGTGCTTCGATTTCATAGTTTTGGCCACTTAGATAATGTTTTGGCTCAGGGCTCCAGCCACTTCCCTACGATTCAACTTCGGAGCTTTAGCCAATTAGATAGTGATTCGGCTCAGGGCTTCCACCACTTGCCTACACTTCGACTTCAGGGTTTCAGCCACTTACATAGTGTTTCAATTTTAAGGCGTGGGCTTCTTCTTGAGCTTCGATTTTGAGGCGTTGATAAGTATAGTTTATACACTTATTCGTGGCCCTAAATCATGATATTTTATTGTCTTTTGGATAAAATTCTACTTAATTTATGTTATATTGTATTGTAGGTAAAACTTTATGTTTAATGAAGAATTGGAGAAAAAAAATACAAAAATGGCGAAAAATGGCAAAATTCAAAGATGAAACCTTGGAGAGAAATATTACATGAAATGGGTTCGAGTTAAATGTGCCTCAATAGAGTTACATTGAAAATTTTAATTGAATGTCCAAATTAAATACACACACACATACACGGACAGAGAAGCAGGGAAGAGAAAAGAAAGGCACATAAATAAAAAAGAAGAGAAAAGGAAAGGAGACTGCAAACACCAGAATTTTTCACGTTTGGTGATATTTTTCCACTTTTGCATTTTTTTATTTTTACAATATGAATATATGTGAGTTTCTTACGAATCGAGAAATGAGTTTGAGATTTAGACCATATAATAAAATTTGGTAAATTAGTATAATGTGTAGAGATACATATACTAATTATTGCGGTCATAATATGAATTCTTAGAACTAGTGTTTCATTTAATTAAAGTTGATTCGCATAGAGATGTGGAATTTAATTAGTTAAATAGGTTCAATGAGAACTCGAGGGGGGTAAAATGAATACAATATAAGAATTTGATCGATACTACATTAGGTTATAAATCTTGAATTAAGAATAAATGTGATGAATAGATGAAATTTTTGTTTCCTAATATTCATCACATATTTGAATTTTCAATCATCCATTATTTGCAATCATTTTATATTTTCAATTAGTTAAAAGTAGTTAGGAAAAATAATCACAATCATCATAATTATTTACTCGCTTTTGTCTAATAGGAGTTAAAAAAATTAGATTAAGTCGTGAAATATAGTCATCGTGGGTATAGGAGTTAGAAAAATTAGACTAAATCCTAAAGTATAGTTTTTGTGGGAACGATATCCGAACTCAAGTATCCATTACACTGCTTGTTACGATATCGTACACTTGCGATATAAAAAGCGTAACAAGTTTTTGGCGTCGTTATCGGGGACTATTTACTTTTGTTCTTAATTTATTTTATTTTTAACTTTTATTTGATTTTACTTTTTTTATTAAAAAAAAAGTGTTCGTTGTATGCTCTGTACCAATGCAACGATTTTGAACCGTTTGACTTGGAAATAGAATGTACTTTCGGACGAATACGCAAGGAACACAAACAAAAACAACAACATCAAATGGCTGACAATCAAAATATTCATATTTTTATTCATCCAATTGGACAAGTGGCCGCAAGAGTAGCGGCACAACCGAATCAACAGCAAGAGTGAGGGGAAATAAACGAATGAGACTTTGCCAGTTTTAATGTTATAGCCGAGCCTGTGCACTCCAGTATTATGTATCCAGATTTCGAGATAAATAATTTTCAGATAAGGGTAGAGTGGGTCAATTTGAAGAATAACACTCTCCAATTCTACGGGATACATCATGAAAATCCGAACACACATATCTCTATATTTCTTAAAAATTGTCAGAACTTCCATGCTCTGGGGGTTAATGAAGATGTTATTAAGTTGCGATTATTTCCATATACATTGAGAGATGCTGCATTGGAATGGTTAGACGTCGAACCTCATGGAAGCATTACTACATGGGAAGAACTGATCAGAAAATTCTACAACAAATTCTTCCCACGGCAAAAGTAGTTAAAATAAGATTGGAAATTCAAACTTTCCAACAGAAAGATGGAGAGAGCTATCAAAAGGTATGGAACAGATTCAAAGAGCTAATGCAAAAGTGTCCAAATCATGGAATCACAATAGGAAATCAAGTGCAGTACTTCTACATCGGATTCTCACAACTATCAAAATCTCAGGTCGATTCCTCCGCGAGTGGATCGATAATAGGAAAATCAGTACAACAAACCTTAGATTTATTTGAGTTAATTGCCACTACACATTCAATGTTTTCATTAGAAATAGTGGTACCACCGAGAGCATCTGGGATGTATGAATTAGATAGCACTGCATCTACGAACGCAGATAGCAGTTTTGATAAAGCAGGTAGAGCTATTGGTGAATCACAAATGAGATAAGCACATGCAGTGATGGGTGGTCCATCATGTGAAAACTGTGGAGCTAACCATTTGACAGAAAATTGTATGTCTATGGGATTTCCCGAGGAACAAGTCAACTTCATTCAAAATGAGGCCCTCAATTTTAACCCATATTCGCAAACGTATAACTCAGGATGGAGACAACACCCGAGTTTCAGATGGTCAGATAATCAATAAGGAATAGTTCAAATAATGCCCAGTAGGAGAACAAATCCAGTTTGAGGAAGATGTTTCATCAATATGTGCAGAAAACAGACAAAATATTCCAACAGATTTATACTAATTTTCAAAATCAACAAGCATCTATCAAGAAGTTGGAGACACAGATTGATCAAATAGCTTAACAACTAGCAGAACGTCCACATGGATAATCGCCAAGCAATACAATGATAAATCCTAAAAAGCAAGTGATGACAATAAGAATAGTGGAAAACGATCCACCTAGGGCTTCTATAAAAGTTAAAGCATATGTACCTCCACTTCCATTTCTCCAAAGACTTTGAAAGAAGTCAATTGAGGAAAATATTCATGTTATAACTATAAGGAGTATGGTGCAATTATCAGAGATTACTGTGAAACGACCAGAAAGAAA